CACTGGTGATCTGAGTCACCTATCAGTAAAGTCATCAACTGTCTTGCGATAAATTTAAACAACTAAGCCAGCGAAACTTTCTTCATAATTGTAACAAGAAGCATGAAACCTCGCTCTTCAAATAAAACTCTTCACTCTATCCTGACTGATTCCTGCAGATACCTAGTGAAAAAGACATGTTAGTCACCTTTGTGAAGGAACAGTTGATCTCCTTGGGGAATCACCAAATGTTGGTAACGCTGACAAGCTGAGAGACTGAGTTTTGACGTAAAGCCTAGTAAAAAATTGCTGCGGATCAAGTTTCCAAATCCCACTGTAACAACAGAAGACAAGGGCAAGTCAACAGAACGCTTATTACGGAAAATCAACACATATTTATAGATTTTGATGTACATTATTTTAGGTTAATGGTAGTAGAAAATATAGTCTGTTGATTGGTTGTTTCTCACACAAAGTTAACGTTGCATCTATGGGGGCTGTGTCAGTTCATCTATATGTTAACTGTATCCGCCTGTCCATCTTGACCTTGTTTTCACATGACTAACATTGACCTCAATTATTGTCAACCAGTTTGGCTAGCAAGCATCTCTCACCACACCAAGAAACACAAAAAGTAGAGAAATGACAAAGAAGAATAAATTCGAAAGAACTCTGATGGACAGAAATATACATGGAAAAACATGAGAATTGAATGGATCTGAGAGATTTTTAAGGATGAATGTATCCGCACCACTGAGAACGATTTTGAGCCATATCGACTAACGGGGTCTCCATCTATTGGCTCTTAACACATGTGGCAGTCTACACCTCCCTACGTGGTTGAAACCAACTACGAAAGACTTCATGGACGGAGATCAAGTTTTAGTTTGATCACTACTAATCCCTCTACAACCTAATCTGATGTTAGCTAAGATTGCTTGTAGAGGAATGTGGTGTCTCGTCAGGCGCCGTTCTTGTCTCAGTCATCCCAGTCGATGTAGTTTCACATCCGTATCGATTAACTTGCCCTCCTTGCCTAATACTATATGCTTAACTTCAGTGTTACTCACCGTACTACACCACTTAAGAAGGTGAGGTAGACAGCAAACATCTGTGGTCAGAGACAGTTAGCCTACTAATGTCTTCCAGTTTCAATGGCCGTATCTCACAAACACATAAAGAAGGATGGAATAAGCTAGTGCGTAAGTCCTTTGATTTACGTCGGAGAAAGCTTAAGCTGTTAAATTCCACATGTGACTTTTGTATCTGTACTCAGAATTGGTCGTTAGTCAGTCGATTTAGGCTCATACAAATTCCTAAACGGGTTAAGTGGTCAGTATACTCAAGCGATTGACTCCATATCTTTAAACTGGGAGTCGATGCAGACCAGTTCTGTCTCACCATTTTACATTTGAAAGAAGTTGGCGAATCGTATGCCAAACATTCCAGGATTTCTGTTAAAGGTATTTAGAAGACTGGGAATATTTTTCAATGTCTTCACCCAGGAAGACAATGTCAACTGCATGCTCTAAGTCGGCGAGAATCGTTGCTGGCAACAATTAAATCTTTAAGTCCCTAATGTCAGCTAGGGATCATCCTGTGAATACTTCTATGATGAAATTTTAAACAATGAAGAGACACTGAGCATCTCTAACGAACAACTCTGGTTGTTATCACTTCAGATGATGACAACTGTCCGTCACGTGTTATGCGGCTAGATGGCGCTGACTGAAAATAGTCCGGAGGAAACTGAAGAAAGCAAATATTCTAAGTTCGAGACACCTGTTTCCTTTGAATATTTTCAACAAAGCAAGAAAGAATATACATATGCAGGACAAATGGAGCTTTTTTACCTTTTTCATGGCTTTTCTTTTACTGTTGACATCCTAAAAATGACACAATTTATTACAAGTAAATCTAAATAATAATGTGCATCGATGGCACAGCGGTTAGGACTCTCGCTAACCATGCACATGGTCTGGGGTTCGATCTCCAGCCAACGCACACCTGATATCAATTGTTGGCCTGTTAAATTTCGGCTACCGATATCACATGCTAAAAATTCCATACTTGGATCAAAAATACTGTGTGGACGCAGGCTATAATAAAATAATAATAATAAATATAACATATTATTATTGTTTCCTTGGATTCCTAGTGGGACATAGGGCTTCAAGTGCACATCTCCACTTGCTTCTGTCTTCTGCTGTACTTTTCACCTGCATCCACGTTAATCCATACTGTTTCATTCCTCTTCACACGATCTCCTCCATGTCACCCTTGCACTGACGAACCACTCGCCGCTTCCCTTTCGGGTTTCACTCGAGCGTTGGTCTGATGCGCGATGTCACTCAACGGCCTCCTCAGCGAGTGTCCAATCCATCTCCACTTTCTCCTGCATATTTGTTGAGCGATTGATTCTTGTTTTGTTTGTTCCCATAGTTTCTTGTTGGTGATTCTTTCCGGCCATCTGATCTTGAGTATAGAGCGAAGACAGTTGTTGATAAAGGTCAGCAACTTGTTGGAAATATTCTTTGTGACCCACCAAGTTTCTGATCAGTATAGAAGAACTGACTGACTTGACGTTTGTATTGAAAATCCGAATTTTGTTGTTGATGCAGGCTGAGTGACGAAGATTTCCAGATTGGTTTCAGGTTGATGAATGTGTTTCTCACCTTCCCGATTCTCGATTTGACATCCTCGTCCGTTCCTCATGTAGTTAAATATAACATCACTGGTAATAATTTCACCCCGTTGGACATTTTACAATTCTCAGAATAATAATGAAACAAGAGGTATGAATACGTGAGTCGGTGGCACAGTTTTAGAGTGCTGGCCGACCACGTAGGTGGTCTGGGGTTCGATCCCCGGCCACCGACGTACTCCTTTACCTCGGTAAGCCAGCAATAAGACTGGCAAAGAGGAAAGTTGGGAATGAGGCTAGCAACCCCATCCTGTAAAAATAATAATCATCACTGCTAAAGAAATTTCAAGCCTCTAGCTTGAAGCCCTCTGTTTCACTAGGAACGTAAAGGAATTAAAAAAGGTGTGAATACAAGAGATTCCATGATTTCACAACTAGAGTTTAAAGATACATAATATGACGGAGATGACACCACAAGACAGGCCCTCGAGTGGAACACGAACGGGAAGCGGCGAGTTGATCGTCATTGCGAGGGTGACATGGAGGATGTCCTTTGAAGGGGAGATAAAAGCATGTGAGCAGACGTGGAGCCAAGTAAAAACGTTGCAAGAGAACCGAACGCAGTGGAGACCTGAGCCGCTGAAACCCTATGTTACTCTAGGATTTAAAGGAAACAATAATAAATAATAAGAATATGACGGACAGCTCAGAAGTTGAGAGGAGAGGGGAAGAGTGAAAAGATACGGTCAGTGAAGGTAAAGTTATGACGTAAACAAAAATCCAAATAAATTGGAAGCCTAATAATGAGTTAAGCTCAGCGCCAATGAAGATCCAAATCAGCTGGTGGTTGTGACACAAAAAGATCAAAAACATAAGAAGGAAGATCTAGTTACTGTATTAGTGTGAAGGTGATTAAACTATCCTTGTATATACACAAGTTAATTTACAATCCTCCAAAAAGAGGTAACGAAGAATTTCCTGAGTGTTCTAAGCTCCATATTCTATGTCAATCAATAGCCTAGCGGTTGTACTTGTAAACACTTTCCTAGTTTTCATATGAAGACTTTTGGGAATATGCTCAGGAAATCTGGCAAATGCTTGTCAATTGGTAAATCGAAATTGGAGTTAATCTGATCAGGATAACTGTATACTTTCGAACGAGTTAATGAGCATTTCAGTGTCTGCTTCTATACAAGCTTGATTACTTGTTCGATTCTTGTTGGAACTGCTCCATTTTTCATACGTGATTAGTATTTTTATTGTTCCCTTGGGTTCCAAGTTGAACATAGGGCTTCAACAGCACATATCCATTTTATCATGTTCTGTGCAGTCTTCTTTAGTCGGTTGCAAAATTGCCAATTAGCTCTCGAATTCTCCTCCAAGTGTCTTGGAATCACGCCTTACTCATCGTTAAACTCAGGCGATGGCCTGGCACGCAATGTCATTCGGTGGTTTCCTCGACGTGTGTCCGATCCATTTTCATTTTCTTCGGAATATTTGCTGAGAAGTAGATTGTTGATTGCTCTGCTCCCAGACTCTCTTGATACTCTATTATTTCCTGCAGACCATCTCATCTTCAGTATGGAGCCAGAGAAGGGAGCAGATGTTGGTGAAATTCTGCGGTAGCTTGTTGGAAGTGCTTTTAGTGATGTGCATTGCAAGTTTCTGAGACATTTTGAAGAAATGACTTCAAATTCGTGTTGAAAATCCGAATCCTGTCGTTTATGCCAAGGAGTGAAGAAGATTTCCAAACTGGTTTCAGGTTTGTTGATGAAGACGTACCTTGCCTTTCCAATTATACATGACTCGCTTTGACATCTTCATCCGTTCCGCCTTGCTATGGTTGAAACCGCGCTTACTAGATAAGTAAAGGAAGTAACCTCTTTCAAATTTTTCCCATTTGTGGTGACCGAGGCTAGTTATTGTTGCTGTTGCTGTTGATTAGTTGGTTATCTTCATTACCCTCGTCTTCTCTATGTTCATCTGGAGTTCTGCCTTTGTTGTCTGCCTCTTTTCCCAGACTCTTGGTTTCTGCCTGTAAGTCTTCGAGTTTTTGTGGCGTGAGACATTAATCCTCGGTGGAATCCAGATCTTCCAGGGTCTTCTTATTGCTGTTCCAGAGTACCTCTGTATTATCGTACCCCTCTTATATTAAAGTCAGATAAAAAGGGGTTTTCTTTCCAACTGTATTACAAGTTTTAGTCTGATTTGTTTTTCTTCTCTTCTGTAGTTTAGAGTAGTTACTTGCTTATAAATAAAGACCTCTACCATACCGTTTCACTTATAAACTTGTTTTCTATTTTTCTTATCATTCCAAATCCAACAGTGACAATCAGTCAAGCACAAAACAGAGTCACTAATTTTCCTGGCTTGAATAATGTCACTATTTAACCTGTCATCAATACTGTCATTTATATCATTGCCATCCCTACGAAGTGATACAGCTTCATTATCACGTAGTAAATCATCACCTGTACTTTGTTCATCGCTCCCAGCACCGTCATTACCATCATCGGTAGCACTAGCACCAGCAACAGTATCCAAATTTCCATCACCTTCATCCTCAGCATTATCTCTATCATCATTACCTGGTTCATCAATGTCTCAATCGCGCTATTATTCATTCTCGTCTTTGTCATCATCATCGTCTTCTTCGTCTGTCTCCTCACGCTCCTCCCCCTCCTCCTCCTCCCCATCATCATCATCATCATCATCATCATCATCATCATCATCATCATCATCATCATCATCATCATCATCATCATCATCATCATCATCATCATCATCATCATCATCATCATCATCATCATCATCATCATCATCATCATCATCATCATCATCATCATCATCATCATCATCATCATCATCATCATCAGCAGCAGCAGCAGCGGCAGTTGCGAAAAAATCCTCATCTTCAACATCCAAGTCGTCCCCCTCATCATCTTCATCCTCGTCAACATCATCATCGTCTTCGTCTTCCTCCACCACTTCTTCCTCATCGTCATCGTCTTCCTCATCCTCCACGACGTCGTCATCATCATCTTCGACATCATCTTCGTCCTCCTCCTCATCAACAACATCGTCGACATCATCTTCGTCTTCCTCGTCTTCATCGGTATCATCGTCGTTATCATCAGCACTGAAAAGACGGAGTCGTCGAAAACACCATCAAGTTAACCATCATTGTTGTATAGTCCATCATCATTACCATTATCACTATTATTGGCTGATTTATCGACATCCTCGTACGATTCACTTGCTGCGGTTTCATCCACATCCACATCCCCAACATCATCATCACAATCATCATCATCATCGATTCAGTCGTCACTGAATACACCGATATCATTAGCCAAACTTATCAATGTCGTTAAATTACTTCACTCTCCTTCACTATTGTAAACCCGATAATCATAATAATGATAATTTCAATCATATTTGACTATCAACTGAGTGAGTCCAGTGTAACAAGAGAACATGATGGTGTTTTAGTTGCAGGCTTATTTATATTGACAGATTGATCTACATATGTAACAACATAAGACAAGGGCCAGGCAACAGAACGTTTATTACGGAAAATCAACACATATTTATAGATTTTGATGTACATTGTTGTAGGTTAGCGTTAGTAGAAAATACAGTCTGTTGATTGGTTGTTTCTCACACAAAGTTAACCTTGCATCTCTTTGTGGCTGTGTCAGTTCTGTATCCGCCTGTCCATCTTGACCTTGACCTCAATTACCGTCGACCATTTTGGCTAGCAACCATCTCTCACCACAACATGACTAATATTTGACACATAAACATTGATCTCAATTATGTCAACCAATTTGGCTAGCAACCATCTCTCACCACACATATACCTGACAAAATTGATGATACTGATAGAGAAACCCAGTCTGAAGTTAAGTGAGTATCTTGGATTAATTTTCTCTTCTGATCTATCCTGGTCTTCCCAGACGTCTTAGCGATTTCTAAAAGAATATTTCGTCCGACTTTTTACATTAAGAAGTTGAGGCACTCAGGCATAACCCAAACCCTTGTCTTACAGTTTGTCAACTCGTGTATTTTACCTATTCTTCTTTACTGTTCACCCTTATTTTTTCCTGGATTGCTTAAAAATGACTATGTCATACTTCGTAGAACTCTGAATACTGTCAGTAAGACGAGTGGTATCCCATTGGGCCATATCGATGACATTGTCAGTGATAAGCACTTGATGCTGTACAACAAATTTGCTAAAGGAATTTTGTCAGACTCTGAGCATTCATTCTACCCGCAGCTCCAACCCTGTGTCTCCTCAGGTAAAACAAGAAGTCATTTCAGAAGACTTTATGCGCGCACATCTAAGTATAAAACTTCCACGATACCATATTTAGCACGTACTTTATGTGATCGAAATAGCGTCAGAAATGAACTAACTAACCTTGTTTGCACTACTAGATAAACCGTTTCCTTTCCCTTAAAGCATCATTCTTTATTGTTATTGTATTTCTTATACTTATGTATAATTGTCGGCGGCACCCCGTAGTAGCGAAGTAGTTGCCAAAGCACCTCTCGATCGACGCTGTCGAATGCTTTTTCAAAGTCGATGAAGTTGAGATAGAGAGGTGACTGCCATTCCAAGCTTTGTTCAATGATGATCCGTAATGTAGCAATCTGATCAATACATGACTTGTTTCTCCTGAATCCAGCCACATTTGAAATCTACGTCTAACTCTTACAGTAAAACTGAATTAGAAAAATTTCAAGAAATTGCAAATATCCGTATTCCCTTATCTTCCATAGTATTCCGACATTACAACGAGTAGTCAGAGTATCTTCAGTAGATTTAATCTCCCACGATGACACTTCGTATTGTATATTTTCCTGGCAACGACACTGAACTTCACTACTAGTAATGATTTAAATTTAGGTATATTAAATCATTTCGAATTATTCATTATCACTGTCAACGATTCCTTCTATTTCCAGTAGAACATAGAGCCTCTTGGACACATTTCCGTTCACCTTAGTTTTCTCACGTCACTTTCAGAAGTTAGAGTTCCACAACTGCCGAAAGCTTCCGTCTCCCCTGTCGTATAATCTTCTTCATGTCAACTTCGGACATCGAATCCATCGTTCGGTTCCCATTCAGGTTCTAATCAATGTTCTGATGTGTGATGTCATTTGAAGGTCTGTCTCTTTGAAGTGTTTTCAACCCATCTTCATTTTCCTTCTGCATATTTGTTGGGCAGTAGGTTTGTAGTGCACCTTGAACGTTTGAATTTTTGTTTTAACGCATTCACCCACTTTTGGCGCTACACCATCTTTTTTCCTTCTCGACATGACTGTACGTACGTGGTTCACTCCCTTGTTGTGCTATCATCTTTCAGCGCATTCTTCGAGCTTACTACCCAGTCGAGGCATCAGATAAGTTGTATGACATCTTTATCTGTAAAAATTGATATTTCATTTGTGTAAAATACAACTCCCTCTAAGAAACACTTCCAGTCTCAAGTCCTTTTACTTTGATTTAGTTAGTCAGTACGTACACGCTAGCTAGGGAACTGATAAGGCTATTAAGCGATGAAGTATTTAGCAAACGCAGTTATTAGACGTATGTCCTAAGTATAACCCAACACTTACAGGTTCTTGATTGGTGTGCCGCAAGAGTCCCCTGTTGCTTGTTTATCCTTTCCGGTCATCATATTCTGCCAAGTGTATTTCAATTAGCCTACTAAGAATCAGGAATTCTACAAGTGCCCATCACTAGTGATCTAAGTCACTTATCAATAAAAGTCATCAACTGTCTTGGGATAAATTTAAACAAATAAGCCAGCAAAACCTTCTTCATAACTGTACCAAGAAGCGTGAAACCTCGCTGTAGAAATAAACTTCTTCCATCTTGAATGTTTCCTGCAGATACCTAGTCAAAAAGACATGTTAATCACCTTTGTGAAGGAACAGCTGATCTCCTTGGGGAATCATCAAATGTTGGTAGCGCTGAGAAACTGAGAGACTGAGTTTTAATGTAAAGCCTTGCAAAAAATTGCTACGGATCAGTTACCAAATCCCTGTCAAGTGATCCACAACGGAAAACTCAGCGAAGTGTTTGGAGTAAACACAGGAGTCAGACAAAGGTGCTTATTATCACCAATGATATTCCTAATTGTGGTGGACTGGATTATGCGTCAGTCAGTGGGAAACGAGAAGACAGGAATATCCTGGACCGACGTGAAGGACCGAAAAGACCTGGATTTCGCGCGTGGATGATTTATGTTTGATGTCACACAAGATCGAAGACTTACAAGCGAAAACCGACAAACTGGTCGAAGAAGCAGCAATGACAGGACTCCACGTGAACATAGACAAGACAAAGGTTGTGAAAATAACCAACCAACCAACCAACAACAACAACAACAGCAACACCTACCGCCAATCACCATCAACGGGAGGGATTTGAAAGAGGTTACTTCATTCACTTATCTAGGGAGCATTGTCTCAACTACAGGAAGGTGGAACGGACGAGGATGTCAAATCGAGAATCGAGAAGGCGAGAAACACATTCATCAACCTGAAACCAATCTGGAAATCTTCGTCACTCAGCCTGCATCAACAACAAAATGATTCGGATTTTCAATACAAACTACAAGCCAGTCAGTTCTTCTATACGGATCAGAAACTTGGCGGGTCACAAAGAGAATTTCCAACAGCCTGTTGCAGACCTTCATCAACAACTAACTGTCTTCGCTCTATACACTGAAGATCAGATGGCCGGAAAGAATTACCAACAAGAAACTATGGGAACGAACAAATCAAGAACCAGTCGCCCAACAAATATGCAGGAGAAAGTTGAGATGTATTGGACACTCCGTGAGGGGGCCGTTGGGTGACATCGCGCGTCAGGCCAACGCCCGAGTGGAACCCGAAAGGGAGGTGGCGAGTGAGACGTCGAAGGGTGACATGGAGGAGATCGTGTGGAGAGGAGTTGAAACAGTATGGACTTACATGGACGTAGGTGAAAAGTACAGCACAAGACAGAAGCAAGTGGAGACATGCAGTTGAAGCCCTATGTTCCACTAGGAACCCAAGGGAACAATAATAGTAATAATAATAGTTACCAAATCCCGCATAGAACACAGAAGTATAAATATACATTGGAAAATATGAGAATTGAATGGATCTGAGAGATTAATATGGAGGAATGTATCTGTGCCACTGAGAAGGATTTTGAGCCATATCGACTCACAGGGTCTCCATCTATTGGCTCTTAGCACATGTGGCAGTCTACACCCCCCTACGTGGCTAAGATCAGCTATGAAAGACTTCATGGACGGAGGTCAGATTTTAGTTTGATCACTACTAATTCCTCTACAACTTAATCGGATGTTAGCTAACATTGGTCATAGAAGAAGGTGGTGGCTCGTCAGGCGCCGTTCTTGTCGCAGTCATTCCAATTGATGTAATTTCACAGCCTTATCGATTGACTTGCTCTCCTTGTCTAACACTCTACGCTTAACTTCAGTATTACTCACCGTATTACACCACTTAAGAAGGTGAGGTAGAAAGCAAACATCTGTGGTCAGAGACAGCTAGCCTACTAATGTCTTCCAGTTTCAATGGCCGTATCTCACAAACACATAAAGAAGGATGGAATGAGCTAATGCGTAAGTCCTTTGATTTACGTCAGAGAAAGCTTAAGCTGTTAAATTCCGCATGTGACTTTTGTATCTGTACTCAGAATCGGTCGTTAGTCAGTCGATTTAGGCTCATACAACTTCCTAAATGGGTAAAGTGATCAGTATACTCAAGCAATCTTTAAACTGGGAGTCGACGCAGACCAGTTCTGTAGCACCATTTACATTTGAAAGAAGTTGGCGAATTGTATGCCAAACATTCCAGGATTTCTGTTAAAGGTATTTAGAAGACTGTGAATTTTTTTCAATGTCTTCACCCAGGAAGACAATGTCAACTGCATGCTCTAAGTCGGCGAGAATCGTTCCTGGCAACAATTAAATCTTTTAGTCCCTAATGTCAGCTAGGGTTCATCCTGTGAATACTTCTATGATGAAATTTTAAACAATGAGAGACATTGAGCATCTCTGACGAACAACTCTGGTTGTTATCACTTCAGATGATGACAACTGCCCGTCACGTGTTATGCGGCTAGATGGCGCCAACTGACCATAGTCCGGAGGAAATTGAAGAAAGCAAATATTCTGAGTTCGAGACACCTGTTTCCCTTGAATATTTTCAACAAAACAAGAAGGAATATATATGCAGGACAAATGGAGCTCTCTCTTCCTTTTCATGGCTTTTCTTCAACTGTTGACATCCTAAAAATGACACATTTCATTACAAGTAAATCTAAATAATAATGTGCATCTATGGCACAGCGGTTAGGACTCTCGCCAACCATG